GTTTTTTTTTTTTTTTTTAGAAAAATCATGTTAAAATGTGGTTATTGCAGTTTTTTTTCAATCGCTAACAAGCCCTCACACATAATTCAGATACTTTTTCTACACTCTTAACACAGACTTACACCTACAGAACACAATTGATCAAAGGGATAATTTTCTTCTCAAAAACACATTTTGTTAAATAAATTTGACTCAAAATGAAATTATTCTGTCAAAGATTAACACTTGTTTTCACTTCACAAGGTACATGCAGTCAATCAAAGTACACCAGGGTTCAAAATACTGGCTATTGTTAACATTACAAAAACTACATAGACTTTGATGTTTCAGTTTTACAGGTATTTGCATGAAAAACATGCAATCCACCGTTTTTACACTAAATTTCTTGGTTGGGAACTGTATGTCCACATGCACAGTAATGTTCACATTCATAGGCATTCCAGTAAAAAGCAAATCAGTTTTTTTTTCACCTCTCACTGCTCCTGCATCTCTCTCTGCATCTCTCACTGCTCCTGCACCTCTCACTGCATCTCTCACTGCTCCTGCACCTCTCACTGCATCTCTCACTGCTCCTGCATCTCTCACTGAATCTCTCATTGTTCCTGCACCTCTCACTGCATCTCTCACTGCTCCTGCACCTCTCACTGAATCTCTCATTGTTCCTGCACCTCTCACTGCATCTCTCACTGCTCCTGCATCTCTTACTGAATCTCTCACTGATCCTGCATCTCTCTCTGCATCTCTCACTGCTCCTGCACCTCTCACTGCATCTCTCACTGCTCCTGCATCTCTCTCTGCATCTCTCACTGCTCCTGCACCTCTCACTGCATCTCTCACTGCTCCTGCACCTCTCACTGCATCTCTCACTGCTCCTGCATCTCTCACTGAATCTCTCATTGTTCCTGCACCTCTCTCTGCATCTCTCACTGCTCCTGCACCTCTCACTGCATCTCTCACTGCTCCTGCATCTCTCACTGCATCTCTCACTGCTCCTGCATCTCTCACTGAATCTCTCATTGTTCCTGCACCTCTCACTGCATCTCTCACTGCTCCTGCATCTCTCACTGCATCTCTCACTGCTCCTGCACCTCTCACTGCATCTCTCACTGCTCCTGCATCTCTCACTGAATCTCTCATTGTTCCTGCACCTCTCACTGCATCTCTCACTGCTCCTGCATCTCTTACTGAATCTCTCACTGATCCTGCATCTCTCACTGCATCTCTCACTGCTCCTGCATCTCTCACTGCTCCTGAATCTCTCACTGCATCTCTCACTGCTCCTGCACCTCTCACTGCATCTCTCACTGCTCCTGCACCTCTCACTGCATCTCTAACTGAATCTCTCACTGCTCCTGCATCTCTCACTGCATCTCTCACTGCTCCTGCACCTCTCACTGCTCCTGCATCTCTCACTGCTCCTACACCTCTCACTGAATCTCTCATTGTTCCTGCATCTCTCACTGCTCCTGCATCTCTCACTGAATCTCTCACTGCTCCTGCACCTCTCACTGCATCTCTCACTGCTCCTGCATCTCTCTCTGCATCTCTCACTGCTCCTGCACCTCTCACTGCTCCTGCACCTCTCACTGCATCTCTCACTGCTCCTGCATCTCTCACTGCTCCTGAATCTCTCACTGCATCTCTCACTGCTCCTGCACCTCTCACTGCTCCTGCATCTCTCACTGCATCTCTCACTGCTCCTGCATCTCTCACTGCATCTCTCACTGCTCCTGCACCTCTCACTGCATCTCTCACTGCTCCTGCACCTCTCACTGCATCTCTCACTGCTCCTGCATCTCTCACTGAATCTCTCATTGTTCCTGCACCTCTCACTGCATCTCTCACTGCTCCTGCATCTCTTACTGAATCTCTCACTGATCCTGCATCTCTCACTGCATCTCTCACTGCTCCTGCATCTCTCACTGCTCCTGAATCTCTCACTGCATCTCTCACTGCTCCTGCACCTCTCACTGCATCTCTCACTGCTCCTGCACCTCTCACTGCATCTCTAACTGAATCTCTCACTGCTCCTGCATCTCTCACTGCATCTCTCACTGCTCCTGCACCTCTCACTGCTCCTGCATCTCTCACTGCTCCTACACCTCTCACTGAATCTCTCATTGTTCCTGCATCTCTCACTGCTCCTGCATCTCTCACTGAATCTCTCACTGCTCCTGCACCTCTCACTGCTCCTGCACCTCTCACTGCATCTCTCACTGCTCCTGCATCTCTCACTGCTCCTGAATCTCTCACTGCATCTCTCACTGCTCCTGCACCTCTCACTGCTCCTGCATCTCTCACTGCATCTCTCACTGCTCCTGCACCTCTCACTACATCTCTCACTGCTCCTGCACCTCTCAATGCATCTCTCACTGGGCCTGCACCTCTCAGTGAATCTCTCATTGCTCCTGCACCTCTCACTGAATCTCTCACTGGGCCTGTACCTCTCACTGCATCTCTCATTGCTCCTGCAACTCTCACTGCTCCTGCACCTCTCACTGCATCTCTCACTGGGCCTGCACCTCTCACTGCATCTCTCATTGCTCCTGCAACTCTCACTGCTCCTGCACCTTTCACTGAATCTCTCACTGCATTTCTCATTGCTCCTGCACCTCTCACTGCATCTCTCACTGAGCCTGCACCTCTAACTACATCTCTCACTGAATCTCTCACTGCTCATGCACCTCTCACTGCATCTCTCACTGCTCCTGCACCTCTCACTGCATCTCTAACTGGGACTGCACCTCTCACTGCATCTCTCACTGCTCCTGCACCTCTCACTGAATCTCTCACTGCTCCTGCACCTCTCACTGCATCTCTAACTGGGACTGCACCTCTCACTGCATCTCTCACTGCTCATGCAACTCTCACTGCATCTCTCCCTGCTCCTGCACCTCTCACTGGGCTTGCACATCTTACTGCATCTCTCATTGCTAGTGCACGTCTCACTACATCTCTTGCTGCTCCCGCACCTCTCACTGCATCTTTCAATGCTCCTACACCTCTCACTGCTCCTGCACCTCTCACTGCATCTCTCATTGCTCCTGCACCTCTCACTGCATCTTTCACTGCTCCTGCACCTCTCACTGCATCTCTCATTGCTCCTGGACCTCTCACTACATCTCTCGCTACCCCTGCACCTCTCACTGCATCTCTCACTGCATTTCTCACTGTGCCTGCACCTCTCACTGCATCTCTCACTGGGCCTGCACCTCTCACTGCATCTCTCACTGGGCCTGCCCCTCTCACTGCATTACTCTCTGGGCCTGCTCTTCTCACTTCTCCCAATGTTAAAAAAAATCCCCTGCCATTGAGTCTAAAGCCCTATTCACACAGGATTAGTGTTATCTGAGGACCTCGTGTGTGAATTTGAAATTACCCAACCACATCTGAATTTCGTGTGGTGCATTCGCACGGGATAAGCGAAGTCTGTGATTTTACTCGAATTAACTGACTTATCTCCTGGATATGATGCCATTAGGCAATTGGTTGGAAACCTCTTGTCGTTATGTCTAGCTGTATGATATATCATAAAAAGATGAATTGTCCTTACCATTCATCTCTATTTAATCATTCTTTTTGTTTTTGCTCTTCTGATGGTTTTCAGTTTTCTATTTCTACAAATTGTATAGTTGTATGGTGTATGGTTGGCCCAATTTACCCAACATAAATAAGCTATGGGTCAATTATTCAATTGTGTGTTTATTATCAGCTGAAATATATTGTTTTTGAACTGTTATCATTGTAAGCAGAGGTTTTCATACTGTATCTAAGGTTTGGAATATTATTTTTTTCTATTGTGGGATGGTGTGTGTTAACATTTGTAAATACTACAAAAACAATCCATCATTTTCTTGGGAGGTATAGCTTGTCTGTTAAGAAAATGTAAGCATTGTGGAAATGTGTTCACTGAAACGACATGAAATGTGTAAATGGTATGGCCACAAAAGACAGATGCTGTGCTCAACAGGGCTCAGGGCCCCAGGCCTTGACCACACTAGCCATGTTCTCATGGAGAAAGAAAACTTCCAAACAACTTCCACTTGCCACTGCCGGAACCCTCAATGACTTCAATTTTCCACAACTTGAAGAATAGTACAAATGCTACTACAAATGCAAACCAGAAGGTTGGTGGTTCAATCCTCGGTTCCAACTGACCAAGTGTTGAGGTGTCCATGAGCAAGACACCTAACCCCAGCTGCTCCCGACGAGCTGGATGGCGCCTTGCATGGCTGACACCAACGTTGGTGTATGAATTGGTGAATGTGAGGCAAAAATGTAAAGCGCCTGTTGGCCATTGGGTCTGTGAAAGCGCTATATAAATGCAGTCCATTTACCAAATGTGAAAATGAAATGCTGTTGGTTCTTCTCATCAGAGATCGTCAGATGGATCTATTCCATCTCTCACATGTATTTATGTATGTTTATTTAGTTTATTTATGTTTATGATTTAGTTAATAAAACTTGTGCACTTTATGTATTTGGTTCTGATTCACTGCTTGCAAACAAAGTTTCTTTTACAATCTTGATCTTTCTACATGCTCAAATAATTATTCTTCTGTGACCATGGAAGATCCCCTTTTTTAGAATAAATTAATACTCAAAAGAGTTTGTTGGACAAACTGATTCATTGATTGTAATATGTATTTAGCCATGTCAAGTTAATCCAATTAACTGACCCAAATATTCATAATTAATCATAAGTTATTATTGATTATTAATATTTCCTATAGCTAAGTTTCTTACATAATTTATATTATATATATTATATAATCTTAATGTATAATTTCTTAAATATATAAAACATATAATGATGATTACAAGCAAGTGATTACAAGCATCATGATTTGATCTTACTTTCTGACCATACAATACCAAACCCAGTCAATTTCGCCAAAAAGTCCAGCTTAAGTCCAGTTATGACATTTGTCAAGTTTTCCATCCTGACTAATGATGGCTATTCTGGGATATTCCCAGTGCGAGAGGGGGGGGATGCTGACCTGTGACGTGGAGTCTGTCTACGTTGACCTCGATCTTGAGGAAGATTCTTCCTCTGCGCTCGGTGTGGTCGGTCCCGCACAGACTTGGCACGTTCATCACACACTGCTTGTGAACGTTCATGTCACAGGCTGAGAACAAGAGAGAAAAACATTGGTAAACGCTTCAGGATTAAACATAGTAAAGTGTATGCAGGGCTTGATTGCTTCAACCCATGGACCAAAAAACAACCCGTGGCAACAGATTTGGCAAGACTGCTGTACATTGACCACAAACCAGAGCCATTGGAGATAGGCTGCCACACAAAAAAAAGAGCTTTTTCAAGGTAATATTTGTATGAATGTGGGCATATAAGCATTCCTAGCATCCTTGCATGATTCACAGCCACTTTCCATTTGTAGCATAAAAGCTCTAGACCTCCAACCTGATTCAAAGCTGTTAAGGCCAATTCACACCACACAGACAAACGCTAACAAATTCCAACAAATAAGGTTGGGTGGAAATCAAAAATCGAGAACTACTTGTTATAAAATAAAACGTTTGATTCCTCTTATCCATTCCTTTGTGTTTAAATTAAATTAAATCAAATTCAATTAAACCAGTCAAGCGTGAGGCGACTGCAGGTGGGTGTATCAGTATACTGGACCTCTTAAAGTGACAGCACCGATATTCCTGCTGCGTCTCTATAATACCACTGATCACACAACAAAACACAGAGAAAATTCACTCGTTCTTGACTGAATAACTTCTGTTACTATATTTGTAATTTATAATTCTTTTCTAGTGCAGCGTTATTTTACAATTGATTACAGTTTCTGTGCCAGACAATCTTAAAACACTGCTTCTTCTTCTTCTTCTTGCTCCTTACATCGTCATATTATATTAGCGAGCGCATCATCTGCTCCTCAGATTTCTCTGCCGAAAAGGAAGCTTGTCGGCAGCGCGAGGAGTTTGGCAGCGAACGCAGCGTCTCGTTCCCTATTCAGAGAACATGGGTTACACTAGTAACCAGAGATGTTCTCTTTCATAGGTTTACTCAAGGCTGTGTAGCTAAGGCGCAGTGGGTACGAAATGCCAAACTCGCCAAGCTAAGCGCTGCGTAACTAGTGCGATGACCAGATAACTTACGTGACTGGTTCAAGCAGACAAAACATGGGAACTTGTAGCCATGTCGATATTAGATTTCCTTGATAGTAATCTCTATTAATCTCCAGTATTAATACATTGTTTGATATGATATTATGTTTATTTGATATTATGTAAATTCAAATTTTTATTGTATATTGGTTTATTTATTATTACCATTTGTTGCTTGTATTTATATTGTTAATATATTGGTATATTGTTTATATATTTATTATATAAATATATTGTTTATATTTATTTATATTGTGACTCTCCTGTTCGAACTCGTTCATCAAAATGAAGGAATCTTTTTCCGAGTGAATTCGTTTGTTTCGTTCGTTGAATGAACCAAACGACTCGGAAAAAAGAGTTCGAACAGGAGAGTCACAAACGTGCGTCACAGAACAGAGCAAGGCGAGCATTATTATTTATTTATTAAATGGCGATTGTTTTGCTCAACAAGACCCTTATTCATCGTCTGGAATCGTTTGAACAGTTTGTAGTTTGGACAGAAACTGTCTTTTGGACATTGAACCGTTTGGTTCCCATTGAAGTCCGTTATATGGAGAAAATGCTAAAACCTTAATTTCTTTATGACTGAAGAAAGAAAGACATGGACATCTTGGATGACATGGGGGTGAGTAAATTATCAGCAAAAGTTTTTTTAAATGAACTACTACTTTAATGTAATCAAAATTGGGAATCAAGAAGAATCGGAATCGATAAGCAGAATCGAAATCGAAATGATACCCAACCATTGTTTGCTGATGGCCGTTGGATTTAGATTTGGACAAATGCTGATATAACATGGTCAGCCAGGTGAATACAAACCCTGATCAATACCAACTGATCCGACAAAACGTGTTTGTAGATGTTTGTCCATGCGGTGGGAATTGGCCTTTACTGTCATGTTGTTGTTACTTTGTTTTCCCTTTTTAATAATATCAACTGCTGAAACACCAACATAAGACATGAAAAGTGCATTTTGAAGGTGAACCCTGTCAAGTTCATGAGCACAGACAGCAAACCTTGTTTTGTTGGACCGTTTTGGCAGAGAAAGTGTATGTGACCCATGCTGAGGTTGTTGTTGATATGTGGAAATTGGCTGTGGTGTGTCGTCTCAGAGAGGTGTTGATGAGCACATCCCATATATGCTGCTACTCCCACATAAATCTCCCTTAAATTTGTTCTTAATGAAATCTGTGAGAGGAACAGGAATGTTCAGGGGGTGTCTCTAGATCTACAGATCGAACCACATTTGACCTCATAATGGAGAAGAACAGCAGAAACAGATGTATTGTGTAGGCCTGAGGCAGGAGCTACCCTTTCACACGGATCTGAGGCCACTTCTTCTTTTATTTCCTTACAGGCTTCATCTAGATTTGGTTAGGAGAAGATGGTCTTGCATGAGGGCATGAAGGGAGGTCGATACTCACTGTCGCATTTCATGCCCTGGTGAATGAGGCCGTACAGCAGCGATCCGCAGTGGTCACAGAACGTGGGACTGCCGTAGGTGTGGATCTTAAACTTGTGCTTGCTTCTGGGATCCTGCGGAAACATGGAAAAGAGAGGAGTCGTTTACAACTGGACTAACAAAATCGACCATGAACCATCTGATGCAAACTGTGTGCTGTTATAGTGTGCTTCCTGCAGGGATGACATGCTTTTAAGGGTTTTTTGTTTTGTTTGGTCTGTGGCCTGCATTTTATTCTATGACATCAGTGATATTTTAAAGCTTGTCTTTAAGAAGGTAATTGCTTATAAGTGACTAAAAGGGACATAAAACCTCATCACAGCGAACAAGTAAACCAGTCGACTCAACGGTCGACTTTAAAGCCTGATTGTGTTTATAATTCAAGCTCTTGCGGCAGTGGCTCAGTGGTTCATGTAGATCAGTGTTTCTCAAACTTTTTCAGCCCAAGGACCACTTTATCTTCCATTTTTTTTCTGAGGACCACCTAACAAAATCCCACTCTAACACGCCCCCCCCCCCATAGGGTCATAGGGTCACATAGGGTCAACTGATATAGGTTGATTTTGCCTATGAATATTTTTTTTATTTACTGAAAGCTAAAGCTTGGTAATTAAGTTTATTAACCCTTTCACACGTAAGTTTAAAATATTCTAACTGACCCCCCAGCGTGAGTTTTTCAAGGCGACCGTTATTTAGAACTTGCCACTTTAATGTTTCCATGGTGACGCGTCTTTGCTTGTCACGTGACACAGCACAACCAAACCAGAGCGCGGAATGAAGGATGATCTGTTTCTGTGTCATTTTTCCTCTTTTGTTAAAAATATTCATAAATGTATTAGCTATAACATGAAACACTGATATTCCGATTGTCAAATATGTGCAAGTGGATGGGTTACACATTGTTTAAACATCTTTATAACGATCGCGTTAGTTGAGCTGTTAGTTTCTTTTTCAGTTCAGAGAATCAGATCTGTTGGATTTACAACGTCAATTCCTCCACTTCTCACGAAATACATGATAGTAAGTGGCTGGTGAACTGGGAGAAGAATAGGGTCAAATGTAAAGCTACTTACACAATGTGTATCTGATATGAATAAAACGTGTTGTTGTCTTATTATAACTGAAAAGATTATTGCCGCTTCCATAGACATCAGTGTGTATTTTACAAACTCAAAATCATTGTTTTGCTAGTACTTATGTATATTTAAATGTCTGAAACCTAAAATAAACATTGAAAACACTCAATAGTTGTGTTATATGACAGCTCTGAGTCCGTCCGTCTCTGGCTTAGCGCCAGCCAGCGCGCGAGAGCAAGTTTGAATTTAGCAGTTGCTGACGTGAAGCACTGAACGTTCTAATCACACCGGTGTGATCGTACGCTCCAGGGATCAGCCAAGAAGACTGATCACACTGGCACGTGCGAAAAAGTGACGATTTTGTAAACATTTGCCTAGTTTAGGTCATCTTTTCGCGGACCACTAGGGGGCGATGGCGGAGAACTTTGAGAATTACTGATGTAGATTGTCTACAAACCGAAAGGTTGGTGGTTCAATCCCCGGTTCCACCTGACCAAGTGTCGAGGTGTCCATGAGCAAGACACCCAACCCCAACTGCTCCCGACGAGCTGGATGGCGCCTTGCATGGCTGACACCGCCGTCGGTGTGTGAATGAGTGTATGAATGGGTGAATGTGAGGCAAATGTAAAGCGCTTTGGTGGCCATTAGGTCTATGAAGGTGCTATATAAATGCAGTCCATTTACCATTTGATTGGTGTTACGGAATTACGTAACTCGGAGCCCCTCTTGGAGCGCTCTTATCAGGAAAGGGCGAAGGCAAATCACGCGCCTAGTACGCTCTACTATCCATCTGTTAATAGTTTGTTTCGAGGACACCCAAAACACACAAGCAACTGTCCGGACTTCCAACCGACGACTTATGTATGTAGGCCTCCAGAGCTCGGACCGAGCATAATTGATGTAGCTTAGCTTGACACATGTGGTGGAGGATGAAATGCCTGCAAGATTACAGACTATACACATTTGCAGGCACCTTAGGCACATAGCCAGGTCTAGGGTTGAGAATGGCTCTCACTCTGCCAGGAGCGAACTCGAGGCAAGAGGGGGGTCCCCCACTCTCTTGAGGGACGTAATAGCTAGCAGGAAGGTTCGCCCAAAGGTTCGAAGGTTTGCCAGGGATAACCCTTCAAGAACCACTGCCAGGTCCCACGTGGGGAACCTAGTCTGGACGACAGGCCTCATACTCCTGTCTCCATGTAGGAAATTTACTATAAGTGGGTGTCTTCCCAAAGAGCCCACCCTAGAGGCATGTGGAAGGCAACTATGGCCGCCACAGAAGCCCCTTTTCCACCAAAGCATTTTGAGAGCCGGTTCGGAGCCGGTGCCTGCGCGCGAACCAGTTCTTTGTGTTTCGACAGCCAAACAACCGGTTCTCGGCCAGGAGAACTGGTTCCAAAGCAGCACCAACTCTTTGCTGGACTAGAACCGTTCTTTTACCACGTCATGCTCACGTCGGGGGCTGATGCGGGTTTAGATTTGTTCTAAACATCTTTTCTGACCATAATAAAGGATCGCAAAGCCAAGAGAAACATTTGCAGAAACACGATGGAGTCCGCCTTTGTAATTGTTATGCTTGAAGTTGGCGCAAGCGTTTCTATTTTTTTATATTGAAAACATTATAAGCAAAGAAGAAAACAGTCACAATATAGAACAAATACAGTAAATGGAAAGAAAAAAGACACAAGACAGGGGTACATAACTAATCAGAAAAGATTAAAAGACTATTGTTTTTAAAGCCTTCTTGGTACAAGAGTTACAGATAATCCCAAAGTAATGTTGTACTGTACTTGCAAGCGTTTCTAGCTAAGACATATGGCGACGTACACAGTGACGTAACGACGTCGTTCCCTGGGTGCTCTAGTCAGTGGAAAAACTAACACAGTCTCATCCCAAAAAGTCATATAACTGACGTTTTGGGACGTATTTTGACCATACGTCAATATCCGCCTTTTTAGGGCCCCCTTAGGCCCGGTTCACATATCGCGTCTTTTGCGCGCTCAAGTTCGTTATTTCAAATGTAGGCGCGCGGTATGCGCGCTCATAATGGAAGCGACGCGGTCGCGGTGCGACGCGCTCGTTTTTTCCAGGCGCGTCCGCGCCGCATCGAGATAAAAACATCTCAACTTTTCAGAATGCCGCAAGCGCACCGTAGGTCACGTGACACGAACCAACCAATCAGCTTCCTTGCCATTTTTGTTACCTCTTCTTAAAATATAATCAAACTGGTCCTTGTCCACTCTGAAATAGGCTTTGAACCTCCCATTGTCCAGGCGGAGTTCCTGAATCATCTGGTGAAATTCCCCATGGTTCTTGCGTTTTTTTAGTAGCCTATGGGGTGCACCCAAACACTGCGGCGTTTTTTTTTTAATTTTCTGAGTAAATAAATCTTGTAACAGAGTTACAGCAAGGGTTTTTCGGTGGTGGAAATCCATTGCTGAAATTTCCTTCATGTAATGGAGAGCGCAGCTGATGGTTGCTTAGCAACGATAGACGCCTCGGGAGTGCAACCGCCCTAGCGCTTCTTTGGAAAAAGGAGAACGCGTGCGCCTAGCGTTTTCTACGCGTTTTTAGGCGCGATATGTGAACGGCCCCTTAAACGTCGGTAGATGGCGATCCCGGGCCGTCATACCTTCGCCTTACCTTTAACGTCAGTTAGGTGACGGGTTAGGTTTAGGTATGGGGTAGAGTTAGGATCCCATAACCTCATCTACCGACGTTTAAGGGTGCCCTAAAAAGGCGAATATTGACGTATGGTCAAAAGACGTCCCAAAACGTCAGTTATATGACGTCTTGGGATGACACCGGGTTGGAAAAACAGGTTCTGAACGGGTTCGGAACCAGGTCTTTTTTGGTGGAATAGACCTTCAGCGTGGACGGGGAGAGCCCGTCAGAGATGAGATTCTGCAGGAACTCCAGCACTGAAGCCACTGGGCAGTTAACTGGGTCCAACTGATGTCCTCTGCACCATAAAGTAAATACATTCCATTTTAATTACAGTTTCCTCGTGGAGGGGGCTCTAGAGGTTAGGATGGTCTCAACAACCTCGGTTGAGAGACCAGCACTCATGAGTAGGTCCCGCTCAGGGCCCAGACCCACAGCTTCCTGAGAAAGAAGGTCCCTCCTGATCGGGACTTGCCACTGGTGAGCTACGATGTCTGAAAACCATACTCGGGCCGACCAGTACGGGGCTCCTAGGAGCAAACTGATCCCGTGCCGCCGGACCCCCTCTAGAACTCCTGGGAGCAGAGCGATCGGGGGAAATGCGTACAGGCGTGCACCATGTGTGAGGGAAAACCAGAGCGGACAGTGTTTGTTCTCGTGAGATGTGAGGATGTCTGTCCCCACATTTTTGCCCCCATGGATAAACATTGCTCTATTTGAGAGTAGTTTGTCCTGGAACCACAGAAGAACCTGATGTGCCAGTTTTTTGCATAGAGGGCACGATCTCAAGCCCCCCAGCCGATTTATATATGAGACCACCAACGTATTGTGTGTTCGCACTAGAACATGATGGTGAACCTGGTGGTAGGCGGTTGCTTTTTTCACTAATTGTATCACCTGCTAGGTTAAAATCATTAGTATTAGAAAAAGCAATAGTGATGCTTGGCTTAGCAAACATCAGTAATAGTCCAAATTTTCCATATGCATCATTGAAATTGAGAGAAGAATCCCAAGGTGACCGTCAAATGGAAACCAAAAAAAGCAAAAACAGTTACCTAACAGATGCTGACCGCAACACTCTGCTGCTGTTTCCGTCCAGAAGCAGAAAGTTAATCATACGTCTGCAGGGGTTATTTCACTGGGCCATGCAAAATAGGGCAACCAATTAATTTGTCTCTGAGTGGTCTGAAATTAATGAGAATTTGACTGAAGTTGAGGGGTCTTGACTTTTACCATAAGTGAACCATTAATCTGACATTAATAAAGACCTGTCATACTGAACGGAAACGCTGAGTCAAATATGACTGTTAGGAAGAGTTTTTATCACTTCT